GCACAGCTGGAGTCTTTGGCAGCTGTTGTGTAATCACTGGAACATGTTTCTACATAACAAACTAAATATAGTCAAAGTTATAACTACAACATGTCATATAGTATTTGATAATATGATATCAATCAACTGCACGACTATGTTGAAGGGTGATGACTTGAAGCACATTCATTAAGGACTAGCTAATTTTTTACTCATGTTTGTAAAGGAGCTACCAGGAGCTAACATTGATAATAATTATACACTATGTGAGGTTGTATGGTCTGTTATCTGACATTGTTTGGCCACAGGACCAACAGTTAGTTTGTTTACATACTGTGAAGTGGTGAAATGTGCAAGAAGACCCATAGATCCAGACACTCTCTGTGCATCCAGTTTCTCCAGGGAATAATTACTTCAAAGATGCACAGTATTGACATTTATGTAAGCACCAGGATGTTAGCAGTTCTCTTCTCTATCGACTGAAGATAACAATAACAGTGTTAAAGAATGTTGCATGTGCTTATTGGGGAAAACAGCAGAAAGAAAACAAACATACAGTATAGGGCTAATGGCTTTACACAGAGACTGAAGCTAAACTGACTGCTGGAAAAACAATTACTGGATGTCTGTCTGCAGCTCAGATGTAAATAAGAGTGGGCTGGTGCCTTAGCTGTCACATACTACACCACAGAGAAAGATCAGACTCTGGTAGTTATAGTATACTGCAAAAAATGTCATCTTAACTAGTTATTTTGTCTTGTATGGAGTTTTAAAAGTTATATTTTTCTAGAAAATACCGGAAAAGGGCAAAATAACTTCACTTTTTTTTTCTGGAAACCAATGAAATTATCTGTTAATTAATTGAAATTAACTGCAAAAATCCCCTTTGACATAAAACTACAAGTGGAATTTTGCCACTCTTAGATCGTTAACGTTTTACATTTCAAGCCAGCTATTGGACATTAACATTTTTGTTGTGTTTGAAAGGTTTGTCATTTTTATGTGGTGGGAGTTGGAACAGAAATTTTTTATCCAGACATTGCATTTTTCCTTGTACAATAGTAAAATAACAGCCTAAATATTGTATTATTTCTAAAGGGGAAATGTGTCAAGGACAATACTGTATGTGGGTGTTGGGTAAATGACAGGATTTCTCTTTGGAGATTGTTAACTGAGTTTGCAGCCTTTGTACTCATAATTTTTTAACAGACTGAATAAAGTTTTAAGAATATAGATTTTTTTTGTTGTTTTACTTTTTGATGTTGAAGTAAAAGTAGAAAAACCATCAGTATTTTACTATATATGTTAACTCTGATTGTTGTAATATATATTATAGCCCAGTTTTATTTCCTCTTTTTTACCTCTCAGTTATAAGTGGCACACACATGCTCAAACACAGACACATAGACACAAGCACAGTCATGAACACATACACATTGGCTGGTGAGAGAAGTGTTACCTCCTCATGTAGGGTGGCTATGAACATCACCAGAGCTGTTTTAGGCTTGCATAAATAGTTTAAGCCTCTCTTTTAACAACAATTGCCCTACATACAGCATACACACATGCTCACATTACTCGTGGTGCACACATGAGGAGGCATGAAAAAAAACACATGTTAAATACGCTCCAGTGCACTTGATAAAAGCCTGACATGATTAATGTGTCAGCAGAAAGAATCGCAATGCTTTTTTACTGGCAGCCCTAACACACTGTTTTACTTGTTAGCATCTTCCTTGTATTCATAGAGTCTATTAGCTATCCATGTACCTTATCCTTTAGAGGGGGTTTGGGGGTAGGACCAGCCCCCACTGACATTGGGTAGAGGTGGATTATATCCTAGACAGGTCACATGATTCACATAGCAAGCAATGACATTTTCAGGGTCACTACTGACTGGCCAATAAATCAGTTTATCACAAAGGCAGCTGTATGTGTTTGTACATGTGTTTTCTGCACCGTGCATGTACAGTAAGTGCTGTGTGTGTTTGTGCATTTACATTTTTGAAAAAGCTTTATTGTATGCAGTATGTGTTGACAATGTACCTGAGTGTGTGTGTGTGTGTGTGTGTATGTGCGTGCATGTGTCCTTGAGGTAAACAGACATCTCTGCACACATCTCCACAACAAGCAGGTCAACACCTCAGCTCACCCATCCATTTTCATTAGACAGTAATGACAGGAGTGGAGGGGTGGATGGATCAGAGAGAAAGAAACACTCAGAGCAAAAGGGATATACTGTAGTTATGCTCCTGGTGAAAGACTTTTAAAACCACTACCTGCTGTCCTCAGCCTCCCTCTGCTCATATTACATAATCACTCTACTAGTACACACTACTAGCACATTGTCAAGTCTCGAGTAGATGTGATTGCTTAATATCAACATGTTTTACTGCTTCCACTGTGTATTTATGATAGTGATGTACAACAAGTCTGAACAGCAAAACAGTACATAAAAGCATGTTTTCCACTTTCATCTCATCTTAGTATAGCCCAGTCGATGTGGGTTGCAACACCTCTGCCAAGTCATCGCTATCTGAAAAAGTATTTCAGGCACCTGTTCATCCAGTGCTGTTCCAATTTCAGTTTGCGGTAAACCCACTTCAGAAACACAATGTCATCCTTGTTGCCGTCACCATGTTCTTTCATTCTGGTGTGTATCTAGGTCAGTCAGTGCACAGAGCCAAGTTGTGTGTGATGTGTGGTCGAGTGGTGAGAACGAGATGATGTATGAAAGCTACATGACTAACATATTAATCTGATCTGACATTTGACAACAAACATCTTAAATCATCCTTGCCTCCTAATTTTGAAGAAATTAAAAAACAGCATTTAAGTCTGGTTGCTGAATGTAAATGCAACATAATATACATATAAGTTAAAAAAATTTTCCTTTATTATGTTCTCAGTTCTACAGATCCTTCATGACATGACTGGATAAGCTGAATTTTCAGATCAAATATCAGAAGAAAGGAAGAAACAACTGAACAGCTGAAAAAGCCTCAGGTCAGTATTTGATGCTCTTATACATGTTGCAACTATTTTTTCAAACCTTAGTATATTTAATACTGTTTCATATTAAAATGAAATTTGATATGAAACATTCTTTCCTCTGCTGTTTACACAAATAAAACTTACAAGGAATGGCAAAACCAATAATGTTCTTCCATCTCCGTTATCCTCAATATTTGGCCCACTTCATGAACAATCTACTTTACAAGCCTGTGTTGTGTTGCTTTGGAAGGAGTTCCTGAAAACTGTGTTAAAAAATAGCAAGCACTCCTTTCTGCTACAAGCATATAACATTTCTAGCAAATCCTTTCCCACACTGGCAGTAATATAGCCCACTGTGAGTGCTATAAAAGATCGGCAATCTATGATATCATGCTAAGCGTATCCTTTTCCTGGTGTGCAGAAGCTCTTGCAGATGGAATAGGGGCACTCACTGAGGGTTGAAGAAAATGAAATGAAGGAATTCACTCAATGCTTGAGTCATCCACAAGTAAGATGTGAAAATGATCACTTCTTTGGTGCATGTGAGAGTCACGTAAAACATTCCCTTTTCCATCAGGCAATGTTACATTCACATACTGTAGCTGTGGTTACCCTGGTGTGATGCTTTACATGTTTAATAATTCTGCAGGACACCATAACATAGAATCTAGCCACACTTAATTATGAAATAATAATGATTTTTATCCAGGGAGAAGAAAATATTATAACAACATTGATGCACATACTGTCACAAATCTACATTTTACACTATTAAAGTTGGACCTAAAGCCACACAGTAACAAATGCAGATCATTTTAATCTCTTTGATGTTTGGGGTAGTACTTGATTAAGGTGTTTCAGTAGATAGATGGTCATTTCACCCCCCCTACCCCCCAAATTCTCTAATGTAGTAACAGATTACAAGAGAAGAAATTCACCACTAGTGCAGTAATAAACATTGCTTTAAAAGCCGTTAGCTTGCTTTTGCTCTTATTAATGCCAGTCAGTTAAAAATCCATCCTCCAACATATTAGCAATAAAAGCTAATGGTTTAACTGGAAAATGTGTGTGTGTGTGTGCATGTCAGTGTGTCTCACTGAGTGTGTGTATTTGTACATGCATGTAAGCATCCTCTGAATATACAGACAGGTCATAAATTAAAGGAAAAACCAACACAGTGTCTCAGTAAGGTGTTGGGCTGCCACATGCCACCAGAACAGCTTCAGTGTGCAGTGATTCTACAAATGTCTGAACTCTACTGGAGGGATGAACACCATTCTTCCTAAAGATGTTCCATCATTTGATGTTTTGGTTGTGGTGATTTCATGATTGTGAAGGCATGTGATTCACATCATTCAAACCATTCAGTGACCCCTTGTGCCCTATGAATGGGGGCGCTGTCATCCTGGAAGAGACAGCTCCCATCAGACCACATGCCACCAGAACAGCTTCAGTGTGCAGTGATTCTACAAATGTCTGAACTCTACTGGAGGGATGAACACCATTCTTCCTAAAGATGTTCCATCATTTGATGTTTTGGTTGTGGTGATTTCATGATTGTGAAGGCATGTGATTCACATCATTCAAACCATTCAGTGACCCCTTGTGCCCTATGAATGGGGGCGCTGTCATCCTGGAAGAGACAGCTCCCATCAGAATAGAAATGTTTCATTACAGGATAAAGGTGATGACTCAGTGACTTTGTATTGATTTGCAGTGGACCAAGTGGATCCAAACCATGCCAGTATCGTCATTTATTATCTTGTTCCACTCATTTAGTCAGGATTTTCTTTTAATTTCTCACCAGCCTGTATATTGCATGTCATACATGTTTTGAAAGAGAAAAATGCACATTCTCTCCATGCTGTCATGAAGCTCTTGTAGCATTATGTCTCTAAATCAACCATGAATACTGTCATGCCATTAGTATTAGCTATATCCCATAGCACAGCTCATAGTCAGAGAGACATACTCTCACACTCACAAAAACACACACATGTGCAGACTAAAAATAGGAGCAGCCTTACCTTTCTGTACACTATCATGTTGGGGGATTCATCTGCTACCCCGTTGGTCCCCTGCCCGCTGCTGTTGGTCTGTGCCATGATCCAGTAAATAAATCTGCCACAGGAAATGTCAGGTGCTCCTGTTGTGGACAGAATGAATACTTTGGTTCATCAGAAGAACAATGGATCTTGAACATGCCTTGCCAAGAAGAGAACAATTACCATAGTTTGTGGCCTGGATCGTTTCAACATATTTGACATTTCTACATGGTACAGATGTGCACCGTTCCTATTTGGCAACACATGTTCACGTTGCACAAGGTCCTGACAAGGGCATCGTTTTTAAAAAAAGCGGGCTGATTTTGCACAAGGTCTGGATACTGGAACAATGCGAATTCCCAGTAAATGGGGCATAAGTTCAACCTGAAAAGCATATAGTTACTGCACAGGACTGCAGTCTTTTCTTAGATTGATTCATTGTGCACAAAAATCAGTGTCTTAATCAGTGATAACACTTTACTGTTTGTTGACATAAGGTGCATCTATAGTAGGTGCCATGTAGGACGTGAGGATTCAGCAACAGTCCTCATGTCCTAGATGGCATCTACTACAGATTTATCCAGAGATTGCAATGGCAAAATATTGTGAGCTGAAGACCCGGTCCCTGTCAACGGCAGCACACCATCCCTGGAGGAGGTACTGTAGGCTACTCTACAATGCAGCTTAGATACATCCTTTCCCATAGAGCAGCCACTCTTAAAACATGCAAGACTGTGCAAATATCTTATGCATGTTAGAGCTTCATCATTCTTTCTTTCCCTTACAACATCCACACGACAGCCTTGGGAGGTTTGGTCTGCAACATTAAACAGCCTCTATAGCATGCAAACAGCAAAGTCATGTAAGCTGCTGTTAACATGAGGCCGTTAGCTCAACTATATATTTTTTCTTAACACAAGCCGCTTCCTGTTTCAGCACCTTGGACAGCTACCGCAAAACGCCCGCGCCCGTTATCGTCCCTCTTCTCATAGCGCGTAAATACACAGACAACACAGCGACATCGGTCACCGGAGAAGGAGGGGGCGG